AAAATCTTTGTTAAAAATAAGGTAATAATTTTTTTTTTAATATCAAGGGTTAAAACTCGAACCCCACACCTTCAAATTTAAGATGAGAAGTTCTTTATAAGAATAAGATAACTATTACAATGGCCTTATCAAGAATAAGGTAGTAATTTAAATATCATTATTTAATTAATTTTCATTTTTTTGGTTATCTTTTATAGTATTTCCATTTTCTAATCTCTCTAATCGCGGCCAAAGGACCCAACTAATCATCACTTAAAGTACTCAGTTGATTAATGAACTAGAAAATGACAAAGAAAATATAAAATTTAAGAACAAATTAACTTTTCCTCCAAAGGCAGGGGGCCACCGCTCCTGCCTATAACATTGTTGCGTGGCTCCGCCTCCCATTAAATAAATTATTAATTTTTTGTTTTTAGTTTTAGTTTTTAATTTACCTAAAAATTTAGAAAGGTCATAACTATATTGAACCTCAAAAAAACTTGATTAGGGGTTAAGGCTCAAATCTTTACCATTTCAAATAATTAACTTTTTACCAAAAATGGTACTCCTTTTTGTTAATTTTTCGTAGATTTAATTTTTAATTTATAGTATTTAAATTTAATTATTTATTTATTTTTATAATATTATAGTTATAATGTTATAAATTAATATATTTATAATTCTAACGTAATATTAAATAAATATAATATGATATTAAAAAAATGATTAAATATAATATCAAATATGAATTTTTCAATAAAAAAAGTCAATATAATAATACAACATGTTGTAATCTTATAATATCTTTTAACTATGTAGCCATTTTATTTTTTTGACATATTTTATAATGGATTATATAAGAAATGATCATGCTTTTCTTTTCTTAAATTCTTTTTTAATAGACTTAAAGTTTAAATCTAAAATTTTTAATTTTTAATTAGTTAAGTCACCTTAATTTTTGTATTTTTAAAATATCATTTAATGTACTTATTTATATTTTTATTCTTATTTTTAAAAAATAATTATAATTATATTAAATGAAAAAATTTATCTAAATAGTGATTAATTAAAAAATATAAAATCTTATCGATTTACGTCTATTAAATTTCAATGAATGGAATATGAGCTAAACAAGTAAATTGAAAAGAAAATCTACCTGCACCTGATCTCT